ATCTTGGAGAGGATTAAACCAAGCTACTCCTTGGAGGCAAGGATTCTGGGGCTTGGTCTGACATACTTTGGACACGTTGCCAGGAGGGACGGGTCCTTGGAGAGGGACATCATGCTTGGGAGGGTTGAGGGACAACGCAGGAGGGCAAGACCCTCTATCAAATGGATTGATTCGGTGACTGGGGTAATCGGGATGGGTGTGTCAGAGGCGGTACGGTTGGCACAGGATAGAGCAGGGTTTAGGGCTGTTGTGCATAGGGTTGCTATGAGTTGGAAACGACTCGACGGCACATAACAACAACAACAACATATCATATTTTGTCGTGAGGTGCGATCAAGTCGAGTAGACCCATAGCAACCCTAAGAACAATAGATTGGACTTGTCCTGTTGTACCATCCTCACAATTTCTGATGCATTAGAGCCATTGCAGTGGTCATTATCTTTGTCTTATTGAGGATATTCCTTTATTTCACCAACTCTCCACCTTTCTAAGCATGATGTCCTCTCCATGGAATAGCCTTTCCTAGCACCATGCCCAAAGTAAGTAAGATGCAGCTTCGTCATCCTTGCCTCCACCGGGCACTCTGTCTGTACTTTCTCCAAGATATACCAGCATATCTGATGGAATCCAAAAGAGAACACTGGTGACACCGTCCCCAGGGGGTTTGGCTGCTCTTTCAAAGTCAGTGCCTCTCAGGCAGTCTGAACCCACCAGAGGGAGGAGTATAGACAGTTTCCTCCCCTGTGATGTACAGCTTTCAACAACTATTGGAGGGTCAACTATGAGTTGGTTCCCAGCGGCAATGAGTGAGTGAGTTATGGAATCTAGCAGCTTGCATTGTGACTGGGCCTTGTGGTAACAGGAGTCTGTCATCTATCTTTGAGCATTTGTGTAGTGTCCACTCTTTCTCTGTGTGTTAACTGTATTGATCTATGATATCTCTATTTGACTTTGACCTAGGCTTAGTATGACTTTCTAGTTGTATTCCACCACTAATTGGCTTTGTAGCGTTTTAATGAATGGATCCAGAATCAACTGCAAAGATTATTAAAAATGTAGGTTCTTGGACCCCATCCCAGACATACTTAAAGAAAATATCTTCTGATGGTAGGTTTAATGATTTCCTTTAAAAAAAAACAATAATCAGAAGAAGTTTCCAGGTGATTTTTATCCACATAAAACTTTGAGAATCACCAGAATCTTATTGAATGCCTTGTCTGAATGTGGTCATGTTATCTTTGAGTTGGGTAACCAATCAGTGATGGCAGGATTGAAGATGTTGTGATCCTAACGCTACAGAGTACAATAGCAGAGAGTGAAGCCTTCAATGTCAGAGGACCTGGGTTTGAGTCTTGGCTCCACCACTTAAGTGGGACCTAGAGAAGTGCCAGGTTTTTTGTGTCTTAGTTTGCTTAGTAATGGCTTAATATTGATTACTTCATGGTTGTTGTGAGGCAGATGCCAATATTAAGTGAATTAACATAAGATGATTAAATGAGTTCATACAAGAAGAGGTTTTGAATGTTAAATGAGTCAATGGAAGAGAGTGCTGATGACAGTACTTGGCAAAGCTAGGGCTTAATATTATTATATTATGAATATTCTACTAGGGAACTCTGGTGGCTTCCTAGGAAAGAGATGCACTTCCAGTCCAATAGTACAAGGTTCAGACTGTGACATAAAGATGGGCCATCTCCTCTTGTGTGATTTACTGCCTCTAAAAGCCCTCTGGAGAGTCAGCTTTTGAGTTATTTCTGGCTCGAAGGTACACAGCAACATAGGAACTAGTGTCTTTTAGAGATGGCAGACCGAGGGACTCAGCTAAGCCGGTGCCCTTGACAGCCCCAAACTCAATACTTAATATTGTACCTGCAACAAAATGATCTGAATTTAAATAATTAATTTCTTACTCAAGCCACATTAGTAATTATGATTGCTCACCAGAGGCAGTGAGTGACATCATCTCAGTGTAAATAGTGGCTGCATGTGACATGATGTTTGTTTCTGTCTTCTTCTCTGCAGGGGAAAAGGAGATTCTCCTGAGGCCCGGGCACTGGCCAAGCAGGTGGCCACGGCCCTGCAGAACATGCAGACCAAAACCAACAGGGCTGTGGCCAACAGCAGACCTGCCAAAGCTGCCGTGCACCTTGAAGGCAAGATTGAGCAAGCCCAGCGGTGGATTGATAATCCCACAGTGGATGACCGGGGCGTAGGTAAGAGAATCGGTGCACTTAGCCTTCATTAAACTGGTTATGGTGGAAAGAAGCAAGCTATTAATGGAAATCCTGCACTATCTGTAGTTACTGCTGAAGGTGTCATCCGCCTCTGACGAGTAGATCACTTTTTCTTATGACTACATTCCTAGATGTAACAAACAAGATTCCTGAGATTTAGTCAAGAAATATTATAGAATAAGTAACTTGCTCTGAACAAATAGAAGAAGATTCAAGTAGAAGTGGAAACTTTGACATATTTTCTAGTTCTGTATATCCTTTGCTTTGTCAATCCAAAGTTAGTGAGTTTGAATCCAACAATTGCTCTTCAGGGGAAAGATGGGCATTCTCCTCCCTGTAATTTATAGTCTCTAAAAACTCAGTGCTGGGTCTGCTATGAGTCTGCAAGTGAGTGACTGACTGAGAAATCCCTCTGCTCTACTGTCACCCAAAACCATTTGCCCCTGAGGTAATTCCAAATGTGCTAACTATTGAATATTTCAGTTATTACAGTCCTGGCAAAGGGCCCAAGTAAATATAAATTTGAAAATGAGTGGAAGGCACCTAGCTTTAAAGGTTAGTCTCAGTTCCAAGGCCTCTTGCATCATTATGGAGTTGTAGCGTTCATAAGCTAAAATTTTTGTTTTGAGAGGATTTAGGAATGAACTTGTAAGAATTTATGTGAAGTTATTTTACCAAGCTTGCTGAAGCTGAAAGATTTATTTATTTCACTTGCTATATCTGTTGGATAAGATGATGATTTTCCATTTTAAATGGTGATACCCAGTGTTGTTGATAAGGGAATTGAGCAAACATGTACTGGGGGAAGAATATAATGGAATAAACTTTGTGAATGGCAATTTAATATTATACATTAATAGCTTTAAAAAGTTCATACTTACTGATTTAGCAATTTGACTTCTAGGAATTTATTGTTAGAAATAATAAGAAATGTTTATAAGGATTTATATATATATATGGGAGCTCTGGTGACCTTGTGGTAATAAGCTGTGCTGCAATCCCAGAAGCTTGCAGTTCAAATTCACTAACTGCTCTGTGAAAGAGCAATAGAGAATCTCCTCCCATGCAATATACTGCCTCTGAAAACCTATTGGAGGATCAGCTATAGGTTAATTTCAACTTAATGGCATGTACACAACAAAACAACAATTTCTATAAACAGGTTAAATGTATAATGATAAGTAAAAGACTAAATAATTGTGGTTAATATGAAAAAAATATGGGGAGCTCTGGTGACTTAGTGGTAAGGCATTGTGCTGTCATCCCAAAGGCATGTGGTTTGAATCTGCCAGCTGCTTTATGGGAGAAAGGTAGTCAAGTCTCCTCTTGTGTGGTTTACAGCCTCTGAAAACCCATGGGAGGGTTATCTGTGAGTCAGTTCTGACTCCATGGTACATAACAACAACAGTAAGAGAAAATATATGAATTTTAAGTCATTTTTAAAAGAGATATTTGTTGTTGTTATATGCCGTCGAGTCCTGATGTGAAAAAACGAAATAAAAAGAAACAATGAGAAAAATGCAATATGCTATGATCCCAGTTTTATAAAAAATAAGTGTGTGTACAGATGAACTGCAGTTTGTATGTAAGTCGTGCACATAGTGAAGCACTTGTCTACTAACAGAGAGGTTGATGGTTTGAACTCATCCTGAGTAAACTTGGAAGAAAGGCTTTTTGTGATCCATTTCTGAAAGGTCACAGCCCTATGGACTGCAGTTCTATTCTGCACCACATGGGGTCTTCGTGAGAAGAATTTCAGGTCAGTGGTGATGGTGGAGAGATGCTTGCAATGCATAAAAGAAAGACTGGAAGGAAACGTTCTGATATATTGATTCCCCAGGCAGTGTATGCTTAGGCTTTTCTGTATTTTAGGGCCTTTTCCTGTGATTTGCTGTTGTTATTAACTGCTTTTGTATAGATTCCAATTCATAACAGCTTTTTGCACAACACAGTGAAATGCCACCTGGTTCTGCACCCTTGTCACAGTCATTGCTGTTTAAGTAAATTGTCAGCCCAACCTGTTGAGGGTTTTCCTCTTTTTGAATGACCTTCCATTTTACCAAGCATCTAGAGACTTGTCACTTCTGATAGAATGCCCATAAAGCGAGATGAAGCCTCACTCTCCTCCCTTCCAAGGGGCATTCTGGCTGAACTTTTCTCATACACGTTTGTTTGTTTCTCTTGCAGTCTGTGGTATTTTCAGTATTATTTGCCAGCACCAGTGACTAGGATAATCGGGATGGGAGTGTCAGAGACAGTGTGATTGGCACAGGACAGAGCAGAGTTTAGGGCTGTTGTACATCGGGTCGCTATGAGTCACAAGCGACTCGATGGCACATAACAACAACATAGTGCAAATGTATCAATTCTTTCCATCTTCATTGATTGCTTGACTTTTCCACAAATAGAAGGTGATTAAAATACCATGGCTTGTGTCAGGTGGGCCTTAGTCCCCAAGGTGATGTCTTTCCTTTTTAAAAACACTTAAAAGGGACCTTTGGCAGCAGATGTGCCCAGTTTAACACATCAGTGGGTTTCTTTACTGCTGCTTCCCAAAGGTATTGAATGTGGATCCAAGTGACATGAATTGCTGAACACCTTCAGTCTTTCTTCCGTTTATCACCTGGTCCAGGTGTAAAGGATGTTTTCCTTTATGTTAAAATGCAATCTACACTATAGAGTTTGGTCATCATCAGTAGGGAACTTTAATTCCTCTTTTATTTAGCAAATAAGGTTTTATCATCTTTGCATCACAGGTTGTTAGTGAATCTCCAATCCTGATGCTGAATATTTGTTCGTATAGCCTAGTGCCTTGGATTATTTGCTCAGTGTTGTTGTTGTGTGCTGTCTATCCAGTCAGAACTGACCCATAGTCAGCGAGTTTTCAGAGGCAGTTAATCACACAGGAGGAGATTGCCCGTCCTTCTCCCTCAGAGCAGCTAGTGGATTTGAACCATGTGCTTTTGGGATTGCAGCACATCTTCTTACCACTATATTATTGGAGTCCACTTATGAAATAATTATGGAGAAAAGGATATGCTTTGACTCTTAACTTTCTTAATTTTAAAGGATACATTAGTTTAAAAGATCTCTAAGTATCATTGGGTACTGTACTTGACTTCTTAAGAGTGTATGCTACTTTCAGTGCTTTGCTCTTGGTCCAGGTCAAGCAGCCATCCGGGGCCTTGTGGCCGAAGGGCATCGTCTGGCTAATGTCATGATGGGGCCTTATCGCCAAGATCTTCTTGCGAAGTGTGACCGAGTGGACCAGCTGACGGCACAGCTGGCTGACCTGGCTGCCAGAGGGGAGGGGGAGAGTCCTCAGGCCAGAGCTCTTGCATCTCAGCTCCAAGACTCCTTAAAGGTAGGACTGGGGTGCAACATCATAAAGTTTGCTTATTGTTACCATTATAGGGGGGAAACCCTCAAAAAGTCTTCCCTAACCAAACCAGAGCTGGGGAGGAAGCTTTTAAAAGGAAGGACTGAGTCTAGGAATGTGTAGGATGTGCTGCAGGATTAAAGACTAGCAGGCTTATTAAGAGAAAATGTGGTAATAGTTAAAGCTGTTTCTCAAATTTCACTCCATTAAGACTCTTTCATGAGTTTTGCTCTATTCACCCATTACCTATACTTTTATTTAGTCAGTATTTTTCTTTTTTTGCTGTTGCAAAAAGCTTTATTGTTTCATTTGGTTATTTAGTCAGTATTTTTCTTAAAATGTACTTCTTTTTGGGTGTTTTCCAAAACTTAAGTAGGATATTTTATTCTGAAATAGAATTTAAATCATAGACCTGATAAACTTTTTATATAATTTA